CAGTGGTATTATGTTGCGAGTGTGTACAGCCGGTGGTGCCGAAGAATGCAAACACGAAATACCACGGGAACATGTATTATTTTTTGTATTTGTTCGGACCGGCGGCGGCGTGGGGGTGGTGACGTATACGCGTAGCGCACGTTCGACTAGGCATTGCCGTCCGCGGGTACGCGTTTGCGTAGCGTTGACGCGCGTTCGCGCCGAGTAGGCAACGGCGGAGAGTGTTACGTGGAAAGGAGGTGGAGGAGGAGGACGGGAAGAAGAAGAAGAAGAAGAAGAAGGAAAAAACAAAGAGAAGCAATCGTAAACCGAAAAATAACAATAACGCACGAAAAATGCGCGTTGTTGACGTTGTCTCGCAGCCGCGGCGCGCGTTGTTAGTGTATACAGGAAGCGATGCGGTTTCGAAAACAACAGGTGAACGCGTCGTGTCGTCGTACCGCGGACAACGGCCGATCGATGGTTTTCGATTAATGCGCGCGACGGATCGGTTTCGCGATCGTCGCGTGTCGCCGCCGAAAAACGTTGATCGCTCCCGCGGAATCGGAAACCGATTGCAACCGTCCCGCGAACGAAACAACCGATTTTCGTCGTACGGACAAACGCGCGCGTCCACTAACCGGAGACCCGTACGACGGTTTTATTTTGCAGATCCGATTGAACGTTACGATCGCGCGACGAATACCGTTTGAAGACCGCTTGCGGCAGGCGTAATCCGTAACAGACGGCGAACAAGTTACGTTGCCGAAACCAGGTCGAGACTATTTCGCGTCTCGGTCGTAAACGCCGGGCGAACGCTGTTCGGCCGACTCGTCGCAACTTGTCGCGATTGTTTTGCCGCAACACGTCCGATTGATGATATCCCGTTTACGGTATGCCGTGCCGGATACGCGCGTGCCATTTATCGTACACCGTTGGGATCGCGTATTTCCGTCTGCTCTGCGCCACCGACCGTCGTTTCGACCGCGATCGCCGCAACATCGCGCGTTACCCGATTGCTTCACCGATCGCGTTCGGAGGTCGGAGAGCAAACGTCACCGGTTAACGGACATAGGGTGCGACGAATACGTTGCAGACATATGCGGATCAGTGGGAAAAGCGTGTGCAAATGTAATCGTCTAAATTCGTTCGACCCCGAGGACGTGTACGCGTTGTGTTTGGGCGACGATTGGGCGTCGAACGAATTCAAATCGATTTTATATACAAAATCGTTTTTTCTCTCTTTTTATACATGTATATATATATATATATATATATATATTATGGTCGTGGTTTTTTTTCTTCGCCTAAAATTTTATTCGAAAAAACAAAACATCAGGTACGTGTTGTACAATGTTGCCTCCGAGTGTAAATAGTTTGAACAATAATGGAACTTCATCGCCGTACATAATCGAATTACGTCGGTAAACAGCTACCCGAGCAAATTTTTACGGGAAATTAATTCGATGCGATCGCTCAATTATTGTGTATATAACATTGGAAAACACGAAGTCACAATAACAATAATAATCATAACAAACTACTCGAACGACGAACTAGAATCGTCGTGCGCATTGTTATACAAACGTAATAATATCATACACATCTATATATAGAGACGTTTTATTACATGGACATGTCAATTTCGTTTGAATTGCGTTATTGCGGATCTCGGGTATAATTCCGTTTCGTATTTAATCGAAATATATTCGGAAAAAAAATAATAATAATAATAATAATAATGATGTTCGAGAATGACGATTGCTATTTCTCACGACTCGTACAACAATAATTTGTACACGGTAATGTACGAAACTGCGGATAATTTCCTAGACCGTGTATCGGCATTTCGGCACTCAATTTAATTGAACCGGTCAACCGACGGTTGCTGGTAATAACTGTACTTTTTTTCTCTCTCCTCATACGTGTTGCGCGCGAACAACATCGAAAATATTACTACTTTTATCGGACGGAATCGCAGCGACACGTCTGTTCGTTAAACGTCGGGCGTTGCAAAGATATTTACCGCGGGTACCACCTGTACAAGTTGGTACATCGGTTCGATTTTCTCTGATCAACTTAAACAAACGTGTGGGGGGTACGACCGTGTATTACGTACGAACAGACTATGCCAGCTATAAATTTTGAATTATTTTACAAGCATTTAGCTATTATAGCAGTGCGTATTACGATAAATACCCTACGTATGCGTATAATTATTCAACTACTGCGATAAACACTAACCTTTATTAATTGCAGCTGTATTTATTTCTTGTGCGTGTCACGAAAAGAAAAACGTGCCATGTAACTCTTAATACCACGTAGAAATCGTTATAGATATTCAAAAACGAAACGACAATATCTACACGAACAATATTTTTGAAACAAGGACTATGTATGACTTTATGTACAGTCCACGTCCAATGACCAACGTGCATTTATAACTTTACTATTCTGTTGATCACATTTATTACCGTATTTATCGTATTCGTAATTTATGTTGGATATAATTTATTCGCAGTTCTTTCAAAAAAAATGTTCAAATGTTTCACGTATTTATCCATAAATATAATCAATATATCTGATGATTTATATTGCAGCCTGATATAAACATTTAGTTGTTACAAAAGTTGTATATTGATCATTTGCATAAAACCTGTTTCTATCGAACCGCAACACTTTAAGTGTTGTGAATCACTGTGATTTCGTGAAGTTCGACATATTGAAAATATATTTACTCTCAAATTAAAATTGGTTTTAAATCTAAGTAAAATATATAGGTAATAATGCACTGAATGATAATTTACAGATATTTTTAAGTGGCACGAATAATTCTCATCGTATAGGTAAGTTTTCGGTGAGGTTTTGTTTAGTAATTGCCCACATTCCATCTTTTGTTATTTATGCTTAACAACTGTAATGATATGTGCTTCGAGGTCAATGATGAAATGTGGAATTGAAACTATTTTGCAAAATATAAAAATAAAACATATATAAACACAAACATTATTATTCCGCAGATATACATATATCAATGGTATTATTTTTCAGTGTAACTCTCTATGCATCTACATACAAATAAAATTCATCATGGAATTAGTTCCATGAATATTATTATACTTGAAAATAGTAATATTTTTAATCAATCATATACATATAGGATTCGTATTTCGTTATAATCATGTTTTTGGATTAGGTATGTAATATTATCGAACTGGTTTTTCTTGAAAAAATATACGACACGATCATTATTTAATGATAACAATTTGGTTTTTAGTAAAAATATTAATATTTCTTTACGCATAAGTGTATGTATATCATTATATCTTTATAATCTAAACGGTTTTTTCCATAAATTAAATTTACATACGTACACACGTGTAAGTATATATGTACTCATATAAATGTATATAGATTGAGATAAAGAGTAAGAGAGAAGTAAGAAAGCTGTCGTTTGAACTGTAACATTTTTTAATTCGGTGTAATTGATAAATAATAGATATAAGTACTGACACATAATTGTAATGGACTGGGTGGCGATAAATCGTGTATAAATTTTCAATCCGCACAAAAAACGAATGGTATACGCAAGGCGTATTGTAATGTAATATTATACCTATTATTTGCAGTCAAACAGCCGTCGAGAAGTATAATACCTATGTGCATATTGCGCGTATATTGTAATATCTATATGTGTTTTAGACGGTTATGTCAACTGCAGCGCATATAATTTATTAGTCTGATTATGAATCGGCGCACCCAAGTATGTGTATACAATTAGTAATGAACAAAATTAAAATAGATATAGTATTTTGTACACAGTTCGTTCGATAAACTGCTCGACGGTTGATACATTCATTATGTGCACAGATCTATCATTAAAACGTTCAAGTCGTACCGTATTCGAATATATATATATATATATATATTTGGTATAAATATTTAGGAGGTACATTACGTAACCTAGTTTAATTATACACTAAACCAATAAAGATAAATGGGACGTGCGTACGAGTAGAATATTGTTCTGCAGGAGATGTGACGGTTAAAGATAGTCGAGCCGGATATTGTGCATTAGACGACGTGAACAGTGTTAGTGCTGCGAGATATCTATTATAAATGTCATAACGACGTAGGCACGATGGAATGGAACGTTGTGATGACTGCGACGAATTGCTCGATCGGCGAGTTTTCTTACACTGATGCAACGGGACGCAAACTTCCCAAAAATGTGGGCGAAGGATGGGGGAAGCCGGAAGTCGACGAACGGATACCCTACAGCGGCACTGCGGTGTCCGAGAACACGGTTTCGATCCGATCGAGGGGCGGTATCCGTGCGGCCGGGGGGCGTGCGCGTTCACGGTATTGTATTTATTGGCGATATCGGGGAAAGGGGAAATTAAAAAAAAAAAAAAGGAAAAGGCGAAACCGATCACGTATAGGTGTAGATGTGCTGCGCGCCGCCGCCGTGCGGTGTTCGAAGTCGGTCGTTCGCGCCGATTGGCTATACCGCGTGCGGCGCGCTGGTGATTGATAGTGCGCGCGCGAGAAGGATAGAGACGGAGAGAGCAGTGATCGAGAGGATAGCGAGCAGGACATACAATACCTTGGTACGTGGACGGGGGGGGAAGGATTGTGGGTGGCAAAAGGGGTGACGGGTGAGGAAAAAAGCTGCGTACCTGCCTGAATAATGTACACGTACGGTAACGTACGGATGTGTAGCGCAGTGCACGCGTGGGCACCAGCGGGAAAAAAAAGGACGGAGCGAGGAGGGGGGGAGGAGGCGGCTGGAAAGAAGAGAAAAATCGGAAAAGGATACGGAGAAGAAGAGGCGAAAGAGAAAAAAACGGGAAGAAGAAAGGCGGCGGGCGAAGGGGCCGGTAGAGAGGCGGCGGCGTCGGTAAAGGATTGTGCGCGTTGCGTCGACGGCGGCCGCCGCCGGCAGATGGCAGGAGTGCACGGGGACCGGCGGAGATATCGTCGTAGCCGCCGCTCGGTTTCGTCGGGGCCACCGGTATCCGCCGAGCGCCGTCCGTTCGCCAGTCGTCACTGATTGTACGCGCGGTGTCGACACGCGTGTGCTGTTCCGTCGCCGTCGTCGTCGTCGCCGTCGTGTGTTCGCGTATGTGTCGCGCGCGTCTGCCGATCACACACATTGTCCGTCGCCGCCGCCGTTCGAACACGCACGCGGAACTGATATCGCCGTCTCGTAATAATAATCGTCATTATTGTTGTTGTCGCGCCCGTACACGACGCGATCCGTTTTACCGATAATCGTTTTTTACGCTCCTCTTCGACCGTTGTTTATTTTAATATTATTTTAAATTTGTCCGCGTCCCGTCCCGAGTGCAACGAGAAGACGTGTCGGAAATAATTTCGTTTTATCTTTCCGACCGAGAGAAAAAAAAAATAAATAAATAAAATTACGAGTGCGGCAAAGTTTTTCGTTTTTATTATTTTTTTTTTTTATAAAACGACCGTTTTCGATTGACATTGTACCGTTTTCCTTGTCTCCGCCGTGCGCTGTAATATATAAATATATAAATTGTTTTTCTTTTTATAAACGAACTTGCTCTCCAGACATTCCGATTTATTCGTACGCTAACCGTATTACTTGAAAATTTTCGCCGTCCGGCCACGATCCAGACATATTGCTGCAGCGGTTTACGTGCGAGTTCGCAGAGGTGAGTCTTTCGTAAACCTAAACACGCGAGTACCAACGGAAATTGCGTTCATTCGGTACGGTTTTTTTTCCTAGCGCGATTTTTCACCGAAGAAATCGCATTACGTGTCGACCCCGTGATATTGGTACCGCACCGTTCATACGTTCCGTACTTTATAATTGTTAGAATGAAAAAAAAAAAAAAAGAAAAATTTCGATAGCAAAATTAATATGATTCCGCGTTTATGAAAAACACACACCGGCAAAATTAATTACGATTAAAAATAATTTTTTCCGGCTTATTCCAAACATCTGATAACAGATTATAATTATATGATATTTTTTCCGAATCGCAAATCCGATCAGTTCTTATAATAATAACGTAAAAATATAATTTTTTTAAATCTTTTAAACTGATATTTTTCGATTATTGATTAATCTCCCTGTTTTAATACCGCATAATATCATTGCCCGTATAATCATACGAATTACATCTTACTATAGTTTTATTTGAAAATCTTAAAAAATTATTCCTTTTATTTTTCCATTATTATTTAAAATATTTAAATTTTTGGTGCATATCATACTGCAACTTGATTGCGTAATATCTCGAATTTTTAACCAAAAAACTTATTACAATATTGTACTATAAAAAATAAAACAATTAAATTTTTACGAAAATATTATAGGGAAAAAATAAAACGTAAATAATACATTTGTTATTCTTTATTTTGAATAAAAAGGATTGACTTTAAAAAAAAAAAATCGATATGTTCAGTTGGTATTTCCAAATGATTGATAAACATTGTTTATGCAGTTATTTTAATAAAATTCCGGAATATCGTTTCCATTGTGTTGATAGATATTATTTGATTGGCTTGGTAAAAATAAAAAAATAATAATAATAGTAAAAATAACAATGTTCATTCAATTTATTGCTAACATAAATCTTTTCACGAATTTACGTATATATGCATTTTTTTCAAGTCTATTGAGAAATACTATATTGTAAAATATACAAATTTCATAAAAAATATTTGTCTCATGACAACTGAACTATGTATAATGTATACAATTTTGAACTTTGTATTAAATTCTAATATATTGGTAACAAAATATTTTCAAATTTTATATCTAAATGCATTTAGTATACATTTTTTCATTACCTTATAGAAATAAGCAATAATAAATACGTTAAAGTGTCCATTGTTTAGCGTCAGTTGTTTTGTTTTAACTGTTATAATATTTTGATATTATTATGACTTATTGAATTCCGGAACTTCGATAAAAAAAAATTTAAATACAACAAATATTCGCTACAATAAACTCGATCGTAGAATAATCAAAAACAATTAAAGTTAAAACGGCAGGGATAAGCTGCTTAATAACGTTATCGGCATCACCCATATTCTCGACGTGCTGCATGACTGACTTTGTTAATACGTTCTGATAATATGAATTTTGGAATTTATTACGAAAAAATTTGTTTTACCTTATACTGTTGCTTGCATAATATACATAGCATAACGATAAACACGTTCGATATAATACAATAAACTTGATCCGAATTGTCTATTAAGGTTATGCATTTATTCATATTTATTAAAATGTTATATTTATGTAATAATTCATTCCTTTGTACATTTTCATAACTTAAATTATTCGGTTTAAACAATTATCTGAGTAAAAAAATTATCACATTAATTGTATGCTGAAATTTATAATAATAAAAAAACCACCGTGTACGAGAATTTAATATTTAGCGAACGAACTAAAGAATAAATAATTTAGTCATCACTATACCTATATATATATAAATATATAATATACGTACATTGATATTAATCTATTTCTTTCTGTATTTGATTTCTAGACAATTCTCCACATTTATTTTTTATGATGTTGTTATTCATTTTTATTGGGATCCACGAAAATAATTTTTTTTTTTTTTTGATCAATGCATTAATAAAAAAATTTGTATTTAATAATAATTGACTATAGGAAAAGATTCTCAAAAACAAAAAAAAATTGAAAAGACTAATAATAATAATTATGAAAAAATGTTAAGTTATTTTCGCCATTTTGTTAACCACATATTTATAATATTTATTATTTAAAACGTTAATTTTCTTATGCTTTTACTATATATTAATTGTACATCACTATTTCGCGTTACGTTTCACGCATTTATTAGCTCGTACTGCATTTGATTTACGGATTAGAGATTGAACAGTGAATATAGTATATTATGAATAACATACCGTGTACCGGGTCGGTCGAAAAAAAAATCAATATAAAATGTTTTTGACTAGGCGTTTTGTGTATGCAATCCATGTGCGGTCGCGCGTAGGAAACTTAACGACATTGTTGGTCGTGGAACTTGTGTTATTTTAATAAAATCGCCCTCGTGTGCGTTTCAGATGGCGTCCAAATTGTTCACGTGTTAAGTGTGGAACTCGTAAAGATCACTCATACGATAATTATTGTGTTCTTCACGGTAATTATGCGTAACACGTGATATGGATGTCCAGGCTATGCAGTCTATGGATTGGCTCTTTAAAAAAGAACGTATCTATCTACTGGCTCAATTTTGGCAACAGGTAAAATAAAACAAAAGGTAGAAGAAAAAAACCATATCTTCTTTTATTCTTTATTTTTTTTTTTTTTTTGTTTTATTTTTTTATGCGTAAATTACTCTTAACGTTGTTATAATACGACGATCAGAACGGTTAAAAAGAACAAAAAAAAAAAATGAAACGGAAAGGAAAAAAACATTAAAAAAAAAAAAAATTGAAAATAAAACCGTTGGCACAGAAAAACATTGCGGCAGACGTTCCGTCCCAGTTGTGTGCGGTTTGCCGGCCACCGGGATAGGGAGGGCAAAGGGGCAGGGCCAAACGGCTCTTTAACGCTCCGCGAAACGTTATAAAATCCACTTGCATTCAGCAATTGTTATGTTCTACGTACTCGTGGTCGACATTTCGGTGGCCACTGAAAACGTCGATAATTTCCCGTATTCGTCCAGCGATGACATATCCCAAACATTATATTTTACCTATTATTATCATCATTGTTACATTCAGTTGTACATACCGCCCTCGTTCAACCCCCGACGCTCGACGATGCAGTGTACACACAATGTTTAATAAAAATTTACTGCAATTCCAACTGCAGCGTATTCCAAGTACATATATATACTCGTATTACTGACACATGCATTTGCAGTTACGGAGTAAATATTATGTAATTAATGTTTGTAATACAACATTCCACATTTTCAGCAAAAATGCGAATCAATTACGTTTTATTATTCGGCACGTAACACACGTGTATGATGCCTTAAAAAAAAAATCTTACACGTGCGACACGCGTATGTGTAAACCGAAATCTGTTATTTCGGTAAACCGTGTACGATGGTCAATATTCTTTCATGTACCGCAATTAATCGCTATATAATATTGAAATGTGTCGAGTCAGAAATTCAATAGCTACGAAAAAAAAAATCATTTTTTTTCTCTCCATACTTTATTGAGTCGATCGCAGTACAAGTATATATATACATATATATATAATTGTATTCTTCCACCTTTACGATCAGACCTTGTCGATGCGATTCCTTACACATCGTTTACGTCAGAAATATTCCCAAATTAGTAATTTTAAAATTAATCTAATCTTGTGCGCGTTATTCGTTATACATTATATGTAGTTAGTAGGTACGTGCATATTTTGGCGGCCGCAGTTACAATACGATAAACGTGTGTTGAAACGGCATCAGCTGCGTGTGACTTACACATTTAACGTATTCAAAACATGTCTATAATAACATATAATATTATCGCCACCACCGTTTAGTGTTTTTCGTCGATCCTCGTATACGTATTATAACTTGTAATGGGACCCGTGAGCCGTACATCTTTAAAATTATGACGACCGTCGCTGCGAGCAGGGGAGGGCATCGGGTGTCGATTAACGGTTGCGGTCCGAAATAGAATTTTACTTAAACGCTGCCGCCTGATTAAGGATGTCGGTGGGAAGGGCGTGGCGGGGAAGTGTTAGAGCGAAGAGAGATAAAGAGTGAGGGATAGAAAAAGATAGGACCGCAATATATATTATTAACGGGTTGACGTCTCAAAAAATATATTCGTTAAAAGTATCGTTTTCCGCGTGGCGCGTCGCCTGTATCTTGCCTGGTAAAAGTCTTATTTATAACGTATTTTTTTTTTTTTGATTTTATAATTCTTTCAGTGGCGCTTTATCGTACATAAAAATAATAATAATAATAGTTATACATTTTTACGTATATATATATATACAGATGTATATATGAATGTATATGAGATATAAATACACACCTCTATCCGTTCACGGTCTCTGCCCAGTGACAGAAGTGAATTTTATTTCTCTCCTCCTGCCTTTGCCTGCGCGCATGTATTTAATGTTTATATACGTATGTTCGAACGTATAAATTATTAGTTTACAGAATTATTTGGCAACGTCCTGCAATTGACAGCGCGTTTTAATTTTAGAATTTTAGCTCATTAAATAAATACACTGCCGCGTGTACATGAATAATAAGTAAATCCGTGTGCGCGTTCAAGTGATATTTTCCCCGTGCGATGGACGACGGTTAGTCTTACCTTTCAATTAATACCGCGACAATAATGCCTAGCGTAAATTTTTTTCCGTATCACGATAACGTTGCATCGCGTACAGGATTAACCGACGTGGAAAGGATAGAAATAAAAGGATACGAGGAAATAAATCCCCTCAGCGGTATCTGTTCGGCTGCGGAGTTCCACGGATGTGGCCCAAAGGTCGAGCGATAGATGGTAGCACCGGCGGCGGTCGGTGCACGTGCGCGTCCCGCCGCCGCCAGACCGTTATTATTATTATTATTATTATAAAGTCGGCGCTGCGCCGGCGGAGGGTTGACGATTTCCGAAGGGTTATAATTATTACGTCGTCGTCGCGGTCGTAACGAAAACAAATGTCGCGCGTAGATCCAACGAGCGGTACACGTCAATTACATCGAAGTCTAGCCGCAGCGGTCTGTCTATGTTTAGAAAAACGTGTCCTACGCTCGTTACTGACGGCGGCGCGTCAGAAACATTCGATTTTTTTTTAACGACGCCTATTCCGGGTCGGTCGGTGCACCGTGTACCAGCAAGTACGACACGGACACAGCGTTTGTGCGCGCGCGAGTGAGTGACGTCCGAAGAGATGAAGCGAAATGCGACGAAAAAAAAAAAATAATAATAATAATGTCGAAAATTTACGATTTTCTTGGCACCGGCCGCCGCCGACAACCGACAGCGGGGGCGAGAAGAGAAGGGTGCTGTATTGGTGACACGCGCGTGCGAGCCGGCCCGAACGTTTACGTCCACGGACTAGACTATTCTCTCTTCTCTTGGCTCTTCAATTTTTTCTTTCTTTCCCGATAGATCGGAAATCCTACTCGTGCACGTCGCAGGCCACGCAGACTCGAAGCACACGCACGCATGCGCGTGCGCGTGTAATATATAATATTAATAAACTCCCACCGTTATAATACGGGCAACTACGTGTGTGTATATGACGACCACGATGACAGCCGTACTGAAATAGCACCGGAGTCCTCCGCACCCCGCGTCTCCATCGCCGTCCACCCCCTCGTCCGGATCCGTGGCGCGACTCTTGTGCCCTGCGAGAGCGCGACACGACGACCGTAAACCGTACGTGGTGCGCAATAGGGTTTACGGCGCGCGCGGTGGTGGGCAGAGGTGTCGTCAAACTAATGGCGTACACAGATTAAACACGTTTTAATGCGGTTTTTAATAATCGGTTTGTTTAGAGTGACACATCCGATCTATGCGCGGCGGCGGCAGATCCCTTTTGAAAACGATCCAAAACAGCTATTTCGGTATGTACGGGCCGCCGCGTATAATATTGTATATCGTCGTCTGACCAACATCAACCATCGGAGTTTTCATTAGTATTATTATTTCGTTTACAACTCGTAACGCGATGATGCCCGCGTGTGCGTCTGAGTCTACATGACGTTATAATATTGCGCGTGTTCCATAACATCGTGGGCAACGACGATGTGTGTTCGGCGGGCGTGGAAAAATATTAGACGTATTTGGTTTTTTTTTTTTTTTTCCGCGTGTTTTGCCGTCCATTATTATTGTATTATTTATTTATATTTTACCGTCCGAAGGTGGTTTAGTGAACCCGCCGCCATGCAAACCGGTTCGTCCGTCATTGATAAATCGGGTTATGTATCTGACAATTGATTAATTTCGGATAAGCCACATCGCGACCGCCATTGGTATTTTGCAATCGCGCGAGAGTCGCGTTCGATGATCTCCGCTCCTCGCGCCGTGCTCGTTCACTCGCCGGTCGTGAAAACCGATATAATAGGTGCTGCCTATCTGCAACAATAGAAAATAAACGACAAACGGTCGTACCTCCTATTATACTATTCTATAACGTACGTAAATGTACCTATTATTTGCGTGTAGAAGTTGCCCGCGCGTATTCACTCCGAATTATACTGCGTGTATGCGAACACGTTTTTCGGGAACGCCGGAGAAATATTTCGTGATTTTTTATCTCGTATTTTTACGCGATATTATTCTCTTTGGGCGAAAACAATTTCAATCGATATGTTATGTGGTGCGCTTGCATATAAACGTGATTAAAGGGATCGTGCGATATACATATATCACACGCACGCCATGTATATGTGTGTAATCTTCATCCATCCTGGTTGATTCTTATTCCTTTTTTTTTTTTTACACGTTAATAATTGGATTACTCGGTAGAGGATATCTTATAATAAAATCTTTTTCCCCTAAGACTTTTTTCTCCGGGGCCAATCTCGGGCCCTGTCATTTGGATAACAAACGACGTACGAAGAAATTTGCCTCTTCTCTTCCCATTTTTATTTTTATTTATTTTTTTTTTTCTTTACCACCGTGGCGGCGCTACTCACCGAGTCTAATTATACGGCTGGCAGAGCACCGGGAAAAGTGAAGCTTTTTTTTTTTTTATACTTGTCTTGTTTTTCCCTTCGAACACACATCGTTTTCCCATAACTAATTATACAGTATACCGTGCACGAGCTGTTCGACATGATTTTCGGTACAGCTTTTATGAATCACTTACGTCTACGCGCGTATATAGTCATTTCTCTGTTACACGACAACTGCCAATCATTATGAGAAATGCACGGCGATGTCTGGTAAATTTAAATTACAACAAAACACTTTCTAGTGTTTGTTTGTTCGAAAATGTTTTAAAAGACTAATATATTTTACGTAACCATGTTTGGGTACACATTGTAATGAACAATATTGCGTTTGATAACACTATCGGATTACCCGCATCTGATCACATTATCGCGATATTCGTAAAGTGTCAAAATATTTTTTATTATCATACATTTTCAATTACAGGTATCTAAGCAAAATCCATATTTTTCTGTTAAATGATAAACATTTTTTATTTCGATCTCATATTTCAAATAAATAACAATTTTTAAATTTCTTCGATATAAAAGTATATATTTTTATATGTATATATATTATTGTAGGTAATATTCATGCGATAATAACAA